GCCTGACCAAAGCAGAATAGATCTAGACTCGAAACTTCCATTGATGCAGCCTAGAATCGCATTGGCCTTTTTAGCTGCTGCATCACACTGCTGACTCGTGTTCAATTTGTGGTCTACTAGGACTCCTAGGTCCCTTTCACATGTAGATATGTCTTTCAGGGATGTAGGAAAGCTCAAGGGACAGGCAGGGTCAGGAAAAGGGATAAATACTGTAGATATGTGGCACAGGTGAACTGAAGGTCTGGTGTCATCCAAGGCAGAGCAGGTTTGGGCTGAGAGAATAACTGAGAGCCCATGCCAACAATTCTGGTGCAAAATGCACCATTTGTGTGTGTTGGGGGGGGGGGAGAGGCAATGGTCTAAACTGCACTGCAGGAAGGAGTAAAACCTCCAAAATCCTCACCATTAGGTATGCTGGTCAGGGCTGATGGGAGTTGTGGTCTATAGTAAGGGTGAGGATTCTCCAGTCTCAGGTCTATTCTGCACTTTTACTGTCAGGGCTCAATGGTATGGAATTCTGGGGGTTGTAGTTTTGTAAGATATTAAGCCTTCTCTAGAAGCCGAGATGATAAAGTTGCAGACTAGGAATAGGAAGGGTAACTATGAAAGAACTAGAAAAGATGCTAAAGAGTAAAGATATACAACTGAGTACTAAAGTTGGAATTGTCCAATCTATCACTATGGGCGGATGGATGTGAGAGCTGGACAGTTAAGAAAGAAGATAGGAGGAAATCCAATGCCTTTGAGGGAACGTGATTCTGGAGAAGAGTGCTGAGGATCCCATGGAGAGCCAAAAGGACAAACAAAGGGGTCCTTCAGCAGATCAAGCCGAAAACCTCCCTGGAAGAAGAAGCCAAGATGTCCAAACTGAGCCTGTCATACTTCGGACACATCATAAGAAGGGAGGACTCTTTGGAAAAGACAATAATAGTGGAGGGAAGGAGGAAGAGAGGAAGGCCACATGTCAGATGGAGGAACTCTATTAAGGAGGCCATGGGTGTTAAGGGGTTACAGGATTTTAGCTGAGCAGTGAAGGACAGGGTGTCTTGGAGATGTCTCATCCACAAAAGAACTAGAGAAGATCCTAAAATGCAAAGATATACAACTCAGCACAAAAGTTAGAATCCTACAAGCCATTGTATTCCCTATTCCCATGGATGGATGGGAGAGCTGGACAGTTAAGAAAGAAGATAGGAGGAAAACCAATGCATTTGAAAGAATGTGTTTCTGGAGAAGATGCTGAGGATCCCATGGGCAGCCAAAAGGACAAACCAAGGGGTCCTAGAGCAGATCAAGCCAGAAATCTCCCTGGAAGAAGCCAAGATGACCAAACTGAGGCTGTCGTACTTTGGACACATCATGAGAAGGCATGAATTTGCAGGACCTGAGCAGAGCAGTGGAGGACAGAGAGTCTTGGAGGGTCACTGGAGGCTGAAAGTGACTCAAGGACAGTTAACAACAACAAAGTCACGTTGGCCAATTTGGACCCTAGTAGGAGGGAAGGGGTGCAAAATGCCCCTACTTCTTCAGTTGTCTTTTCCTGGCCTAGGCTTTAAGGGACAGATACAAGGGCTGATCCTGTTCCCTAAATAGTTCCACATCTTGTGCAGCTCCTTTAAAGTTTAAGATTAAAATATGGAGCAGATTTACCAGTCCACTGCTACGGCAAGATGCTACTGTATTCACAAAGAGACACACTCAGTACAATAATCTGCAATCTTGTAAACCCTCACAAAGAAAATAATGAGGGTGCTCTGTGACACTTAAATTGATCATTCCAGCCCATTATGAACACTGGCCAATTTTCTATAAAATGTATTAGCTTTTCGATTACCTACTCAGAATCTTACATAAAATGTTAATGTGTCTGTAAATGCTTTGTCTGAACCATTTAGAAATACCAGGGACAAATTATTATTTCCCCCCATCCTGTAGCAGTAGTCTGCTTTTAATTTTGCTGCTCGCAATCCTTTTGGTTCCATTTCTCCTTTTTGATTAGCGTCTTATACATATTGCAAAATGATGGTCTGGAGATGGCAAAGAATATGTGAACTGCAGAAATGCGTGCTCTAGGAGGGACAAAACCTCATCCTTAAGCCACTTGCTTTAAAAAACCAAATAGATAATACACAAAATGCATGATCACATGGTGCAGTCTTATTTTTAAAAAAGGAACTAACAGGTGGTGCAGCAGGGCAGGAGCAAGATTTGTTCGTGGCATGCAGGATAGTATTTTTAACCCTCCCCTCTCCCCTTTGTTATGATGCCAATGAAAATCAGCTCCCAGATTTAAATGTTTGTTTAAAATCAGCTCCCAACAATTATTTAAATGTTTGTTTAAAGTGTTTGCACCCCTCTTTTCATCTGGAAAGGCTACCTGTGTGGCTTATGGATCCGTAAACACAAGACAGTCCCTTCTCTCTGTCTTATGTGATGCAGAAGAAACTTTGCTCTCAGGGCTCAACAACATCATCCCATATCCTCCAAGTGTCCCAATTTGGCAGGGACAGTCTCATAGAATCATAGAACTATAGAGTTGGAAGAGACCCCAAGGGCCATCCAGTCCAAACCCATTCTGCCATGCAGGAACTCACAATCAAAGCATCCCCAGTGACAGATGGCCATCCAGCCTCTGTTTAGAAACCTCCAAAGAAGGAGACCTCACCTAATCTGTTGAAACATTGAAAGGGGGAAGGAAAAAAAAGACTGATTTCTTTTCTTTTCTTTTCTTTTTTTATCATGCACTTTCATGGACATTCACCCACTTCTTCAGATGCAATACCAAGTGACAGTAAAGCTTCGGGTTATTAAGCATATTTATACAGTTGTGGGAGTGGTACAAAATGTAATATAGGATCTAGAGAGATGCAAATTGTGACTGTCATCCTAAATCTTCAAATGGCTCTGTGAGATGATACAGGCCTTTCAGATTCTTTGCAATGAAGACTTAGCATTGGGGTGTGAAACAAAAATAATAATAATCTGATTACCAAAACTCACATCTCAGTGTGTGTGTGTGTGTGTGTGTGTGTGTGTCAAAATTTTCTGTGAGGAAAATTCCTTTTGTTTTATGTGCAATAGTGAGGACTCATCTATTAAGATATGTAGTGTGCCATGAAATCATACCTCTGCTAGTGGATTTGACAATGTATCTCATTTCATCTGTTTTTCTTTCTAGTCTTCATTTATGAATTTATGAATTTCAGCATGGAGAGATGTAAGGCACTGCACTTATGCAGAAAAATGAAATGCATAGATACAGGATGGGAGACACCTAGCTTGACAAGAGTGGATGTGGAAGGGATCTAGGAGTCCTAGTAGACCACAAGTTGAACATGAGTCAACAGTGTGATGCAGCAGCTAAAAAGGCCAATACGATTCTAGGCTGTATCAATAGAGGTATTGTGTCTAGATCAAGGGAAGTCATAGTGCCACACTATTCCGCTTTGGTCAGGCTTCACCTGGAAAAACCCTGTGTCCAGTCTGGGCACCACAATTCGAAAAGGATGTTGAAAAACTGGAGCGTGTCCAAAGAAGGGCAACCAAAATGGTGAAAGATCTGGAAACCATGAAGCCCTATGAGGAGCTGGGTGTGTTTAGCCTGGAGAAGAGAAGGTCAAGAGGTGATATGATAGCCCTGTTTAAGTATTTGAAGGGATATCATATTGAGGAGGGAACAAGCTTGTTTTCTGCTGCTCCAGAGAATAGGACCCAGAGTCTCAATGGATTAAACTAGAGGAAATGAGATTCCACCTTAAACATTAGGAAGAACTTCCTGAGAGTAAGAACATTTGGAGAGTGGAAGACAATCCCTTGAAGTGTGATAGAATCATAGAATCATAGAATCATAGAGTTGGAAGAGACCCCAAGGGCCATCCAGTCCAACCCCCTGCCATGCAGGAACTCCCAATCAAAGCATCCCTGACAGATGGCCATCCAGCCTCGATGGAGTCTCCTTCTTTGGAAGCTGTTTTTAAAGAGAGGCTGGATAGCCATCTGTCGGAGATGTTTTGATTGTGAGTTCCTGCATGGCAGAAAGGGGGGGGGGGTTGGACTGGATGGCCCTTGGGGTCTCCTCCAACTCTATCAGCTGTTTTCCTTTCTAGTCTTCCTTTCTGATTTCCTTGTGTGAGGATTGTGACCCAATAACAGTTTCCTCTCTTTCTCTCAGAGCTGCGCTCCTATGCTCAGACCTTGTTGGAGTTCCTGCGCCATGCGGAGGAGTTTTTCCGCACGCAGATTGACTTTTCGTTCTTCACACGCTCCCTCCCGCAGTTCATGGAGAAGATTTACAGACATTTCTTTCCTGCTCAAGGGCACCATGATTCCAGAGGTACTCACCGGCCCAGGCCTAGATGAAGACTTTGCCATAAAGATGGAACTAAGACACTCAAAAACATATATATTACAGGTGTATACTGGTTGAACCCCTCCATTCCCAAAACGCTTGGGACCCCAAGGGTTTTGGATTTTGGAATACCTCTATTTGCACATAGGTACATAATGAGATACCTTAGAGATGGGACACAAGTCTAAACACAATTTTCATGTATGTTTCCCAGCTCATCCATGGAAATCCACTGGGTGACCTTGGGCCATGTCACATACTCTCAGCCTCAGGGGAAGGCAATGGCAAACCTCTTCTGGACAAATCTTGCCAAGAAAACCCCATGATAAGTTCACCTTAGGGTCACCACAAGTCAGAAATTATTTGAAGGCACATAACAACAAAAAATACCTTATAAACATAGCCTGGAGGTAATTTTATACCAGATTTTAAATTATTTTGTGCATGAAACAAAATTTGAGTACATTGAACCGTCAGAAAGCAAAGGTCTCGGCCATCCATGAATTTTTCCCCCATTTTTGGTGGTGTGTCTTTAGGTCATTTCTGACTTAGGGCACTCTATCACAGGGTGCAATTTGTTCAGAGGGAGTTTGCCTTTGCTCTCTGAGGCTGAGAGAGTATGACTTGCCCAAGGTCACCCAATGGATTCCCATGGCTGAGCAGGGATTTGAACCCAGGTCTTCAGGGTCCTAGTTCAACTTGCAAACCACTCCACCACGCTGGCTAAAAGCTACAAGTATACATATCCCAGAGCTTAGAAAAGTTCCTTTTTCTTTAGACTCAAAAATAACCGTTCTAGCAGGGGCATTCAGAGAGCTGCTCCACACAATAAACTTCCCCAAGGTTTGACATACAGCAACCCTGTTTCACGTGGCATAGTAGTTTGAGTGTTGGACTGTGACTCTGGAAACCAGGGTTCGATTCCTGTCTTGTCCATGAAACCCACTGGGTGATAGTGGGCAAATCACACTCTCTCAGCCTCAGGGAAAAGCAATAGCAAACCTCCTCTGAACAAATCTTGCCAAGAAAACCCCATGATAGATCATAATACACCTTCTCAAACTGACTCCTGTTTTCCCCCAAAGAGCAGATTGCAGACACAGAAGCAGTTGTGGCTACAAAAGGTGAAGGAGAGGAAGAGGGGCTGCTATCAAATGCCAAGAAAATGCAGAAACGAGAGATCCCAGTGTTTCGCAGGAGGTAAGGTTACTTTCAGAACTCTAGGGTTCCCAGGTGAACAGGGCTTAGATCTTATACACATAGCCTGAAGGTAATTTTATACATAATATTTTGGAAATAATTGTGTGCATCAAACAAAGTTCTTGTGCACTGAACCATCAGGAAGCAAGGGAGAATCATTTTCTCAACCATTAATGTGAACAATTTTGGAGTATTTCGAATTTCAAATAAGAGAGACTCAACCTATACCGTTTTTAGGGCTCTTCCAAAGTAGGTTTTTGTGGGTTTTCCAGGCTGTGGGGCTGTGTTCTAGGAGAATGTATTCCTGATGTTTCGCCTGCATATATGGCTGGCATCTTCAGAGAATGGTGGCATGGAGGTGTATTGTTTTGTTGAGGCAAGGCCTCAGGGTGGGAGGATATGCAGGGAGGATTAGTGTCTATTAAATTAATGGTCCATATAATGGGGTATATATACCCCACACACTTTCATGCCAGCATTCTCTGAAGATGTCAGCCACAGATGCAGGCAAAACGTCAGGAATACATTCTTCTGGAACACGGCCTCACAGCCTGAAAACACCACAAAAACCTATGGATGCCGGCTGTGAAAGCCTTCGACCTGTTCCAAATTGGTTTAAAGAAATGTCAGTTCTTGCAATATAGCTGCTTGGGGTTTTTTTTGCCAGTTGTTGTTGCCATGTCTGCTTATTCCATTCTTTTTTTAAAAAACAATTTTATTTGATTTTAATATGGTCCATACACTCCAAATCATTGATACGACAAATAAAAACCTTGTAAGAATTATATACAGTAGCAGAACACACCACCTAAAATCATCTATATATTGTTAAACATCTGTATAAAATCTTTAGTATTACCAATGTTAACTATTCATTTCCCAGGATTACTAAACCGTCCTTCATATTTCCTTTTACATATCTGTCTTGTCTCTTCTTTAATTTTTTCTTCATTCCTTCTTTTTCCCCTGTTCATATCGCCTACATGTTCCTTCTTGCCATTCAACCTCATATCCTCTTAATGTTGTTCTTCATTCTATCTTCTTCATCTTCTCATTCCTCTGCCTTTTCTCCCTCCATCTCTTTTCCCTGTCTTCATCTTTGCTATTTTCTATTTGTATCTCCCTTCCTTTCCCCAACTATTTTTCTTTCTTCTCTATCTTTACCCTTCCAGTCACTCAAAACAACTTCGTTCCTTCTTCTTCATGCCTCTTTAGCTGTTTTTACTCTTCCCTTGTTCTTCTCTTTCCTTCTCTTTCTTCTGTAATTTCTCAACCTTCTATTTAATCCTTGACAGTTTCTCAACATTTCCTTCTTATCTATCTTTTCTTTTTATTCTTCATAATAACCTCTATTCTACTTATTCTTCACCTTCTTTCTTACCCACTCTTGCCTTCTTATCAACCCATTCCATTCTTTTTCAGGGTTGTATTTAGTGATTTCTTGGACTTGCACCAGGGCTTTTCCAAAAATACCACTAGGACATGGTTTGCCAAGGTGGTTCTATATCTGAAGGGAAAATTTTATCTTCTCTAAATTTTTATTTTTTAAAAATCATAAATGGTAGAGTGTTACAGGGCAAAAGTGCTACCTGCTTTGAATACAGACATGTCCAAGTTAGGACCGATGCAGATGGCCCCTAAGGCGGAGCTCTATGCCGCCCCTGGGAGCGCCGAATCGGGGCCGCGGCAACCACACAATACAGCCCTGATCTGGCTTTTTGCCACTCCAAAAAGAGCTGGCAAATGCCACTCCTTTTTGGGGTGACAAAAAGCTGCCCTTAGCGCCTCCACTGTGGCTCTTTCGCACTCTTTTGGCGCAGTGTATCTACACGCTGTACCAATGGGGCGCCCTGATGCTGTGTGCCATGTGGTTGGGCGCGTGGCATGATGGTGGCATCGGGGCGGATGGTCCTTTTGGTCAGTCTGCATTGACCCTTAGTCTTTGGTCTTACCTGAAGTTTTATTGTGGAGTTGAGCTGAGAACCTTTCATAGAATCATAGAATCATAGAATCATAGAATCATAGAGTTG